GAGCAGAGCTGTTGACTTATAACATTCCAGATGTTAAGTCCCACTGGCTGTCAGAACACACTCCGTCCGGCCCCTCTGCTTTTGTAAGGCTCTGCCTTGCCGGGCGGGCTGCCCCTCCACCGCCCCAGCTCCCTCCTGCCAGTCTATGTAGCGCATACCGCCTCTCTGCCCTTCCTACCCTGTTCCGTGGGCCTCTTGTCTAAGCTTGGCTCTGGAGAGTCTGTTCTGCTAGTCTTCTGGTGGTTTTCTGGGTTATTTAGGCAGATGTGGGTGGAATCTAAGTGATCAGCAGGACGTGGTGAGCCCAGCGTCCTCCTACGTCGCCATCTTCCTCCTTATTCCCTTTCTGTAGGTTTGTATTGAAGTGGTACAGGCCATATTTGAAGAATCTGGCTCTTCCTCTTTCCTGGACAGCCCTTCAGGCGGCTCCAATGCTTGTCGTTTAAAAACAACAATAAAGCCTTAAGTATTTAAAAAAAACTTTTTATTTATTTTCAATGAGGGTAATTTAATTTAATTTGTTTTTTAATTTCAATTTTTTAATTTTTAAGTTATTTTTATTTATTGATGCAAAAAGGTGGTTTTATTCATGGGGACAGGACCTGTGGGCAGAAAGAGCTGCCTTTTTTTTTTAACTAAAAATATTTTTAAGCTTATTTACTTATTTTGAGAGAGAGAGAGTGTGCAAGCAGGGGAGGGGCAGAGAGAAATGGAGAGAGAGAATTCCAAGAAGGCTCCGCACTGTCAGCACAGAGCTGTATGCAGGGCTCAAACTCACAAACTGCGAGTTCATGACCTGAGCCCAAACCAGAAGTTGAACACCTAACCAACTGAGCCACCCAGGGACCCAAGAGCTGCCTATTTTTATTTTTTAAGTAAACTCTACACCAAATGTGGATTTCAAATCAGGACCCTGAGATCAAGAGTGGCATGTTCTACTGAGTGAGCCGGTGAGGTGCCTCCAAAGCCTTAAGTTTTAAGTTAGGATATAGTATCTTATTTATTTATATTATTATTTTATTTATTTTAAAGTAATCTCTCCAGTTATAGTGGGACTTGAACCCACAACTCCAATATCGAGAATTGCACACTCCACTGACTGAGCCAGCTGGGCACACCAAGAATAAAGTATCTTAAAGATACAGACATGGAATAAAGATTATGACTTTTAAGTACAATGCAGGTTTGAACTGTGGAGGTGCACTTACGTGCAGATTTTTTACAGTATGATATTATAAATATTTCTCTTCTTTATGATTTTCTTAACATTTTCTTTTCACTAGCTCACTTTATTGTAAGAATACAGTACATAATATACATAACATAACAAAATATGTTAATTGACTGTGTATGGTATTGGTAAGTCTTCCAACCAACAGTAGTCTATTATAGTTAAGTTTTTTGAGAGTCAATTCATAGGCGGATTTTTGACTGTGTAGGGGTCAGTGACCCTAACCCCTGTGTTGTTCAGGGGTCAATTGTATATGGTATTTGAAATCTTATATTTACATAAATATTTTAAGCACACAGAAAAGTATAGAGAATATCAGAACTAACATCTGTATACCTACCACTAAGTTTTGTTGAACTTTTTTTAAAATGTTTATTTATTTTTGGGAGAGAGACTGAGCATGAGTGGGGGAGGGGCAGAGAGAGAGGGAGACAAAGAACCTGAAGCAGGCTCCAGGCTCTGAGCTGTCAGCACAGAGCCCAATGCGGGCCTCGAACCCAGAAACCATGAGATCATGACCTGAGCCAAAGTCACACAGTTAACTGACTGAGCCAGCCAGGTACCCCAAATTTTGTGGAATCTTAACAATTTGCTATATGCTTCAGATAGTTCATTGTTTCAGAGAACCAAAAGATTACATGTACCACTTTTTCATCTTTTAAAATTTTACATAAATTATATCAGTTTGTGTAATTTTTTTTCTGCAGCTTGTCTTTTTTTGCTCAGTGTGTGTTTTTAATATTTACCCATATGGATAGTTACTAAACTATCTAGTTGATTTGTTTCCACTGCTGATGATTACTATTACTTTGAATACAGGTGTTTCACAATTTATTGATCCAATCTCATTTGTTGGCTGTGAGTTTTGTAATATTTGCTATTACAAACAACAACACTACAATGAACATTGTGTTTCAGAGAGTTTAACAGGAGTTTTTCTTTTATTTTTTTTAAGTAGTCTCTACACCCAAAATGGGGTTTAACCTCCTGACGGGGAGCCAGCCAGGCACCCCTATAATTTGGATTGTCAGAATTTAACCTAATTAGCCTTTTTTCGTGTGGCTACTAAAAGCTAGAAAATTATTTGTGTCTGCATTGTTTCAGTCGGACAGTACTGCACTACAGCCTCACCCACCAGTGCTCGAGAAATAAATTTAGTGGGTAATAACCAACATTTTTAAATGGAAAACCACAGAGCAGAAAATGTCATCGTGTACTGCATGTGATAAGGGTAAAATCATTTCATTAAACTTTTGGTCCAGAGTGTAGATGTGATGTAAAATATATTTCTTTGCCATAGGTGGTGGTCAAAAAATGTCTGAAAACCCCTGCCAGGGGTGACTGGCTGGCTCAGTCAGTAGAGCATGCAACTCTTGACCTCGGGGTTGTGAGTTCAAGCCCCATGTTGGGTGTAGACATTATTTAAAAAAATAAATAAACTTAAAAACAATACAAATTATATAGCTCAATATATCTAAAATATATTTATATAATCAATATAAAAATCATTAATGAGATATTTTACATCCTTTTTTTGGTCCAAAGTCTTTGAAAAAGTCAGATATGTGTTTTATACTTAAAGCACATCTCATTTTGGATTTGCCTCATTCTGAGTTCTCAATAGTTACATGTGGCTAGTAGCTACCCTATAGTGGCAGTGCTGTTCTAGGGTATACATTTAGGAGTGGAACTGCTGGGTCAAAAGCTATGAGCATCTTTAACTTTATAAATATTGCCAAATTTCTGTTCAATGTAGTTTTAGCAGTTTATACTCTCTCTTCCTTTCTCTTTGCCCTGTATTCTTGCTAAGAATTGGTATTGTCAGGCTTAAAAAAATTTGCAAGTGTGAAGAGTATTGTTGTTTTTATTTTGTATTTTATTTTTTTTAATTTTTAAAAAAAAATTAAAGTTTATTTTTATTCATTTTGAGAGTGAGAGAGTGAGCTAGCAAGGAGGGGCAGAGAGAGAGGGAGAGAGAATCCAGGCAGGTTCAGTGCTGTCAGCACTGAGCCCGATGTGGGGCTTGAACTCACTAACTGTGAGATCATGACCTGAGCTGAAACCAAGAGTCAGACACTTAACTGAGCCACCCAGGTGCCCCTAGTTTTTAAATTTTTTTAATGTTTATTTATTTTTGAGAGAAACAGAGTGTGAGCCGGAGAGGGGCAGAGAGAGATGGAGACACAGAATGTGAACCAGGCTCCAGGGTCTGAGCTGTCAGCACAGAGCCCCATGTGGAGTTTGAAGTCATAAGTGGTGGGATCATGACCTGAGCTGAGGTCAGACTCTTAACCAACCAAGCCATCAAGATGCCCCTGTTGTTTTTAATTAACATTTTATTTTGGAATAATTTTAGATTTACAGAAAAATTGCAAAAATAGTGCAGAGTTCCCATATTATCCCTAGCCAGTTTCTGTTTCATTAATGTTACCATCTTATGAGTGTTTTATTTATTTATTTATTTATTTATTTATTTATTTATTTATATTTATTTTAGAGAAAGGGTGCAAGTGGGGGAGGGAGCAGAGGGAGAGACAGAATTTTTTTTTTCTGAGGCAAATTTTATTGGCAGAACACAAGTGTTTTACAAATGCAAGATATTTAAGCAACAAATACATTTTATTTTATTTTATTTTTTATTTTTTTATTTTTTGACTTTTTTTTTTTAATTTTTTTTTCAACGTTTATTTA